AGGAAGGGAGAGTATCATCCCAGCCTTCATTAACAAGGATCCTGAAGCCAATGTCATTCTTATATTTTTAAAGGTAACATTTTTTTCCTCTAAGGAAAATTTCAGCATCTGGATACACTGTTACCTAGACATTGGGCTGATTCTCTTACCTTCCAATACTTCCTATTGAAACTATTGAGGTTTGAATTTCCATAATCCTCTTTAATTTTCAATAGCTCACACTTACTCTCTGATTGCTTCTTTTCATGGCACCCAAACCTTTTCAAGGCTGCAATATCTTCTCATATTTCTTTGAGGTTGCCACTTATTCAAACATTTCCTAGCTCTGTGTCATGGAATGCACCTGTAGTACCAGCTACTCAGGGTGCTGAGGCGGAAGGATCACTGGAGTTCAGGAGTTCAAGACCAGCCTGGGCAGCACAGTGAAACTATCTTGAAAAAAAGATAACATTTTCTTCCTGCAGCTAATAAGTCCATCGGATGCCTTTATTCATTGGTCTCTGTGTGCAAGGTTGCAAACAGTAGTCTCCTTTAGTGTGCGCAGCCTGTTGCCGTATGGTTGCCCTAAGGGACCTTGGAGACAGCCCCTTGCAGTGGATGTTCCCATCTTATACTGTTACCATCTAGGCTCCAGATAGTGCAGGTGGGAAGCTCCATGTTTAGCACCCGGGCTGGCCAAGTCATCCTGTCCCTGTAGACCAAGCTGCAGAACCAGGAGCTTGTTATCAAGGCTCTACCCAGGACCAGGTTCAAGTTCTCTGGCCACCAGAAGATCCACAACTCAAAGAAGTGGAGCTTTAGTAAGTTTACTGCAGATAAATTCCAAGACATAGTGGCCGAGAAGCAGCTCATCCCAGATTGTCGTGGGGTCAGATGCCTCCCCAGTCACGGTCCCCTGGACAAGCGGCAGGTTCTGAGTTCATGAAGGTTTCCACTGTGCTGCCGCTCTTTAATTTTTTTTTTTAATTTTTTTAAGTCACTTTTTTATTTTGAAACAATTTTTAAATTTACAGAAAAGTTGCCAACATAGTATAGACAATTCCTCCATCTCCCTCATCCAGTTCCACCGTGTTGAAGAACAAGTTTCCAGGCAACTTTTTGTTAGTCATTATTATTAGAGCTTAGAGTTATATAGAGTAGTTGAGTTCATCCCGACAAACTCATCCACGCAGGGAGATCAATTTCCATTCAGGATCCCCCTTTTCCCTCTCATGCTCCCTACCCTCTCCCTTCTCCTCCCTCTACTAGACTTCCTTTCACTGGTCTATGAATTTGTCTTTGACTGGCTCTTTAAGTTATCTTACCCTTCCTTCCCCTTTCCTTTATTTTACTACAGCTTCCACATTTGGGACAAAATATGTGTCCTTTGAGTTTCTGAGTTTGGCTGATTTCACTTAGCATGATATTTTCCATTTCCATCCATTACCACGAAATGCCATCATTTCATCCTTTTTTAATGGCTGAGTAGAACTCCATTGTATAGGTACGCCACAATTTCTTAACCCACTCATCTGTTGATGCTGCTCTCTATTTTATTTTATTTTTTATTTTTTTGGTGCTGGGGATTGAACCCAGGACCTTGGGCATTTGAGGCAAGCACTCTACCACTGAGCTACAGCCCCAGCTCCTTTCCCTCCTTAATCTCGCCCACCAATCTATCTCACCTCCTGTCCACCTTTAAAAAGCCCCCCTGCCTTTTGTCTTCCCTAAATTCTCTCTTTTTCTTTCAGCGCGTCCCATTCCCATGTACTTGCCTCCTCATGTTAGGGGCTTTTTTCAAATCTGATTATCTTTGTCTTTTCAATTCAAGAGTACACCAGGCTAGTCAATGGGCAGACTTCATTTGGGCAGGGAGCCCATGTCACATGGAGGAGACCACAAGCCATAGAAGTGGAAGCCCTTCTTTGGGGCCATTGAACCCTCTGATGGGGGCTGGATCCCTGGCTGCCCTGTGTGTTGCCTGGGGATTGAATGTTCCCTATCATGTTGGCCAATCCTCCTTTAATCGGTCGTCATGTTTATGTCTGCTGCTTCCTCTCCACTATGAGACTCAGGGTGTCTGGGAGGCTTGAGCTCCCAGGGGTTCTGCCTTTTCTACTGTCCCCCTCCTGTCTGGGCCCACGGTCCTATTATGGTTTAGATCTGGAATTATCCCCTAAAGGCTCATATACTTATCGACTTGGTCCCTAATGCAGCCTGTCCAGAGGTGAGGGCTTTTAGGAAATGGTTAGATCATGAGGGCTCCAGTTCGGCAGTGGACTCATCCAGTTGATGGATTAATAATTTGAACAGATTATAGGAAGGGGGGACCTATTGGAGGAAGCAGGTCACCGAGCGCATGCCCTTGAAGGGTCACCTGTTCCAGCCGTGTCCTCGCTCTCCTGCCCCTGGGCTGCCATGAGTGGACAGCTCTCCTCTACCACGTCCTCCCACCATGATGCTCTGCCTCACCTCAGGGCCCAGAGCAGAGGAACCAGCCAGCCATGAAACCTCTGAAATCGTGAGCCAAAATAAACCTTTGCTGCTTTAAGTTGTTTGTGTCAGATGTTTCTGGTCCCAGAGATGACAAGCTGACAACACACCTCCGCTTACTTACTTCCTTGGTGACACCCCCCTCTCTCCCGGGCCCAGTTCCTACTTATTTGCTGAGATGTGTGTCCGCGGGTGGCCCCCTCCGGTGCTCTGAGTCCTTAGGGAGGTGTGCTTTTCTTCGTCCCTTTATTATCGTTTTAGTGGCGTCAGGGAGAGAGAGGGCAAATGCACGTGGCTGACCGTCTGGCTTTGAATGGAAATCTATCCCCTCCTGACCTGGGAGAATGAAACAAATGAGAATTTCACCATCATCATAAACGTCTCTACCCTTCAGAAAATGGAAGCTTCCAGAACCCGAGGGGCTCTTTCTTTCTCTGCTCGGCTGCTTTCGTTTCATCAGTGTCTTCGCCTGGGTTCATGTCAGATGCAGCTTCCTGGTTACCCTTGTCAGAGACCTCTGTGACCTCACCTCCAAATGCTCCTGTGTGAAGTCCACAGTGTTTCTTGAGCTCGTGGCTCCAGCTCCATCAACTGCCCTTGTCCAGGGGTTCTGTCCCACTGGTAGCACCAGGCGAGCTTCTTCTGTCCTATGGCAGGAGCCTCCTAACTGGGTCCTTCCTACCCTCCCTTAATCCATCCTTTCAGGTTCTAACTTCAGACCTGATTATGTCTCAAATTTATGTCAAAACAGAGACATTTTAAAGCAATGAGCATCCTCTTTGGAGGGCTATTTGACAATATCCATCAAAATTGCGACTGTATGGGGCTGGGGATATAGCTCAATTGATAGGGTGCTTGCCTCGAATGCACAAGACCCTGGGTTCAATCCCCAGCACCAAAAAAAAAAAAAAAAAAAGCAACTATTTGGACCCTTTGACCTACAGTTCTACTTCTATGGAGTTATCCTGGGATAGGGCTGTACATGTGCAAAATGGTGCATGTACAGATTTAATTATTGCAGCACTCTTTATAGAAGCAAAAGGTAGTAGACAATCCAAATAACTATTACCAGGCAGTTACTAAATAAAAGTAGAATGCATATAATAGATCACCTATGGAGTAACAAAAATGAGAAAATTCTTTACAAATTGATAGGAAATAATATCTAAGATTAAGTAAAAGCAGAATGATACAGAATAAATGGCTAATACTTGTGTAACATTGTCATAAAAGAGGGAGAAGATAAAATGTTTCTTTGCTTGTCTGTGCATAAAGTCCCTAGAAGCATCTATTGAGTCGAAAGAGGTGAAGTAGATGGTGGAGATGATGGGAAAGGGGTCTTCTTACTGCATATGCTCTTGTATCTTTTGAATTATGGAGCACATAATTGTATTGTCTATTTAAATTAATAAATACAATTTAAAACTCTCCCTTTGTATTATCTCAATTTAGTTTTTTTTAAAAAAACATATACCAAATGTTTAACATTTTTAAATAATTTGTATATTAAGCTGTATATGCTCTGAACTCAGAATATATGCATAAATATCTTTTTTCCTTTTTTTTGGTGATACTAGGGATTGAACCCAGGGCACTCTATTGCTTAGCTATGTCCCTAGTCCTTTTATTTTTCATTTTAAGTCAGGGTCTCACTACACTGCCCACACTGGCCTCAAACTCTTCATCCTCCTGCCTCAGCCTCCTGAGTTGCTGGGATAATACTCATATTCTAATACAGGTTAAGTGTGCCTTAGTTAAGATGCTTGGAACCAGAAGTGTTTCAGATTTCTTTTTTAAATATCTGCACATATGTAATGAGATATCCTGTGGATGGGACCCAGATCTAATTGATATATCATGTACACTTTATACACATAGCCTAAAAGTCTTTTTTTTTTTTTAATTGTTTTGGTGCTAGGGATTTGACCCAGGGCATTGCACATGTGAAGCACGTGCTCTACCACTGAGCTGTACTCCTAGCCTGAAGGTAATTTTATACAGTATTTTTAGTGCACCTGCATTTTGACTGCAACCTGTTGTGTCAGGTCAGGTGTGGAATTTTCCACTTGGGAGGGTCACATTGGTGCTCTAAAAGTTCCAGATTTTGGAGCATTTCAGATTTTAGATTTTTAGATTAAGGATGTTCAACCCGTGAAGCATCATTTTTAAATATGAAATATGCATTTTGCTATATTGATATGCCTTGAGGGGCTGGGAGTGTAGCTCTCTGGCAGAGCACTTGCCTAGCAACACATCAAGGTCCCGGGTTCCATCACCTGAAAAAAAAAAAAAAAGAGTGTTGTGCCAGTGAGCTGCGCTCCCAGCCCCTGTAGGCATATGAATGAGTATGTGCAGTACGTGTCGTACCTGTAACACAGGTACTCTTTTTCTGTGTATGGTGCTGGGGATCAAATCAGGGCCTTGAACTTTTGAGGCAAGTGTTCTACCACTGAGTTATACTCCAAGTCCCTTTTTGTCTGTTTATTTTTGAGATGGGTGTCTCAAACAAAGCCTGTTCCCAGGTTGGTCTTGAACTCCCAGGCCCAAGCCATCCTCCTGCCTCAGCCTCCTGATCAGGTGACATTCCAGGCACACGCCACCACGCTGGGCTCCTTGAACTCTAATCAATGTGTCTATAAGAGAATCTGAAAGCAAAACCTCAAAATACTCATGCACAGTGGTTTTTTATGGGTAATTGGCATAGGAGTTATTTAGCTTTTCTTCCTTATCTTTTTTTCTGTTTTTCCTCCAATTTTTATTTTTTTTTTTAATGAAAACTGCTTCTAATAGTCAGTAAAAAGAATGACATGCACTTCTGTCTCCTGCTGTCTACAGGATAAAGCTCTGTCTCTGACATGTGGAGGCCCCTGCTTGCATCCCCATCCTCTTCTCCCCTCCTTCCCCAGCCTCCCGACAAGGGAGGACCTGTCGTCCTAGAGCGGGGTCCCTCACTGGTTTTCCCTGATCCTGCAGAAATGCAACCCAACCTTCATGTCTTGTTCAAATATCACCTCTCCCTTGTACCCAGGAACAAACTGCTTCCTGCTGGCCTGGACTTCCCTGTGTGAGACCTGGTCATGTGAGTCATTGTACCGCCAGGTGTAGGCCAGGCCCTGGCTCGCACCAGGTCCTCCCAGGGGTTCCTCCAGCTCTGCAAGTGGGTGGAGGAGTCTTCACTTGGTGCCTCCTTTCTAGGTCTGTCAGTGTCTGGGTTGTGATCTTGGTGCTCTGCCGAATGTGGCTGCCTAATATCCTTGCTCCCTCCATGCTGGGGCCTCTACCTAGCAACATTCTTTTGTTTGGGGAGGGTTGTTGGGGATGGAACCCAGGGCCTTGCACATAGTAAGCCTCTACCACTGAGCTACACCCCCAGCCCTGCCCTGCTGCCCCCCACTTTTAAAATACTGAGTTTGCTTGACAATCTAGGCAAAGAGTCCTTTTTCCATGGCGCTGGGGACAGAACCCAGGGCCTTGGGCTTTACTACTGAGCCACACTCTTAATGGCTTTCTTCAGCAGAACAGCATCTTCCAGATCCATGGTGGGCACGGATCGTCCCCCAGTGGTCTAGCCCGAGTGAAGTGGGCTCCCCAAGGGTGACTCCCTGGGGAGAGGGCAGGGAGGAGAAATCTCTGGAGAAAGTGGGGCGGGGAGGCTGGCTAAGCACTTTGGCCCCCAAAAGATTTCCACAACCCACCCAGGAGTCTTCCCAACCATCTTGTCCCCTTCCCCATTCAGGGGGAAATGGGGCAGAAGGGGAGGACACAGGAGCAGGGGGGTGACTGCAGCCGGACCCCACTCCCGCCTGGCTGCTTCTCTGAAGGAGTGGACACTGTCCTTGCCTCTTAGCCAACTCACACACAACACAGCTGGTGGAGAATTCCGATCCTTCCCAGGTTCTCAGAGTACAAAGATCCAGTGAGTCACAACCTGCTCCCGCCTGGTCTCTCTCCCCAGCCCAGCCCTCAATTCATGCCGAAGTGGAACCTGAGGAACCCAAGGAAACGGAAGCTCTGACTTAAGAGGCACTGGTGAGATGCTCCCCTAACCCACAGCTGCTGCCTCATCCCGATTCTGATTCCCAGGAACGTTTACCAAGAGCAGAAATCCCAGCCTGAGAACTCGGACTCCTGGTTCCATTTTCAGCCTCGCCTCCAGATCAGGGCAACCAGGGCTGACCTTGGCCATGGCAGGCACACCTCCCTTCACACACTAACAGGAAGTGACCTGTGAAGTTAAGACTATTAAAAGGCTCTCCCACACTCCAAATCCTTCCATTAATAAGCAATCATGGCTGATACTCAGTGAATACTTAATCTGAGTACTTTCCTGGGTTAAGGAAATGGGTCGTTTATATTTCTGTTTTACACACAAGGAAATTGAGGCACAGAGAGGCAAAGTGGCCCAAGTGGCTCAGCTAGCAAGTGGCTCCAGAGCCATGCCCATGACCACGAGGCTGTCCTGCCAGGGGTATACTGCTTTCTGCAGAGTTCTGCAAGCTATACCCTGACCCCTGACATCCTTGAGCCTCTGAGGGTGCCCTGTGCCACCCCATCTGGGTCCAGGGTCATGACTCTGAGCCCTAACTATGTCACTTCCAATCCAGCCCTTGACTCCCCAAATGGAATGCAGAGGGCCTAAGCCAGTGTAAAGCTTCTGGGAGCCCCCTGTTGCATTGCCAAAAACATATCAGACAGAGTGAGCTTCCTGTTCCCTCAGGGCCCATTCATGCGCTCTCCACCCAGGTCTCTGCAGGATGCTCCAGGTGAGCCAGATTCTCCTCCTTAGGCATGTGAGGAATCGGGACTCAAGGAGGTTAAGTCAGTCACCCAGCATCAGCGTGGCCAAGCCAGGTTCAAACCCAAAACTCTACGTGCCATGTGCAGCTCTCCTTCCACCAATCCATCACTTCACCCCAGAGATTCCCAGTAAAAGCTGTAGCTTTGGGGGACCAGGGGTGTAGCTCAGTGGTAGAGCACTTGCCCACTATGTGTGAGTGCCTGGATTCAATCCCCATACCACCAGCACGCGCGTGCACGCACACACAACTTGTAGCTTTGGGATCCTACTGGGATCCTTAACCTCAGGACCCACAGTCATGCCATCCTAGTCTTATTCTTTCCCAAACTTTTGTTTGCTACAGGGTTGCCTGGGAGAGTACTTCCAAGGCAGATTCCCAGAGTCTACCCTCAGAGATCTTGACCTGGAGGTCTGGGCTGGGGTCCAGGATGTTCATTTTTAGCAAACCTCTGACAATTCTAAAGGAGGAGGTTCCTGGTGGGCTCAGCTCTGAGAAAACTGCTCACAAGCCATCTTGGAGGTGTCTGCCCCGGATCTTACTCCTGACAGGCGTCTACAGACACCTAAGGATGAATGAGTGTCTCTTCATTCCTGATTTTGTTGTTCAGGTCTCTCTCTTGTGGGTTTACAATGTTAAAAAGCTCAGTAGCTTTTCTAGATGGCAGATCAGTCCTTTTTGATTTCGGGGGGCCAGGATGCTTCTCCTGGATTGACCTGCCTGGGCAAGGAGAAGTGCAGGGAGAGGGCCAGTTCCTGAGGGCGGCAGCAGCCTGGTCTGACAAGCTTCCCACCAGGTTGCTGCTCTCTGGCTAAGGTCCTAAAACAGACAGGGACTCACCTGTGACTCAGTCACTTCAGATCCACCTGTGCATTTAGCAAAAATGCAGATTTCAGTCCCCACCCTGACTTAGTGGATTAGAATGGAGGAGAAGGGACAGAGCCCAGAAATTTGCAGTCTTAGCCAGCACCCAGTCATAAGTATGCCCTGGAATGTTTGAGAAGCGCTGTAGAATGTGGGATTTGGAGTAGCACAGACTAGGGCTCTGCCACAGAGTAGCTGTGCGGTCTGGAACTATCCCTAACCTCGGTGAGACTCAGTTTCCTGGTGTATCAGCAGTGAGGCTGTTTATGGGTTCATTGGTCTTGCTGTGGGACTAGTCAACCCTGAAAAGTACACAAAGCCCATGGAAGGAGGAAATCTACCCAGACACACCCAGCCTGGTGATAAAGAGGTGCATATTTAAATACCTTTTCTGGGAGGGAAGAGTCTTTGCCAATTAAGGACACTGAGCCTTTCATGCCCAGTGGCAAATCCTGAGCTGTTTCAAAACAATTTCTATTTCCCTTTCCTCTGGGCTCCATTCAGTAGAACTATTAAAGGTGGTTGGATCCTTTTCCACCTGAGGTGTGAGCCACCCCAAGTTGGGATGTAAGTGTTGTAAATAAATACAATATTGGTTCCCTCTACGCCCACAGCTGGGCGTCTGCCCACCAGTCCTGGGCTCAGGCTCCAGGACCCCTCCACTTCCCATTGCCAAACCCCTCCCTGGGTGGCAGGCACAGTCTGAGAGTTCTGCTTGGCAAATCTTGGCTTGCCGACGTTCCTGGGACCCTGATCCATAAAGTGGGCCGAGTGTCCAAGCCCTACTTCTCCTCGGCTTTCCCAGTATGGCTGATCCAGAGCTTTTGAAAAGCTTCCGCTATTCCTAATGGCTCCATCCCTCTCCGGAAACTTTCCCCAGTTGTGCTATGAGCTTGCCAGGCGACTTGGTGACGTCCTGCTCTCTGCACACACAAGGGACAGGGGCAGAACAAAGCCCCGGAGGAAAAACATCCCGCCTGTCCACAAGCTCACATCCTCCTGGGACCCCACCCAGCACACATGGGGCTCCCAGAGGAGGAGGGGTGTGCGGAGGGGCTGGAGGACAGCGGGGACAGGGAGGGGTGGAAACACAGACAGATCCCCCCCCAGCTGGGCAGCATTCTGAACCGACCTGGGGAGGCAGATTAGAAGTCCATTCTGTTTATTCTGGCTCTCCTGCCGGCCCTGGGGCCACCGCTTACAGCCCACAGTAGAAGGATTAAACCTAAGCTGGCCAACAAAGCAGTTCTGAGAGAGTGACTGAGGGTCACAGGGCGAGGCCGGCAGGCGTGGCTGGTGCAGGGTTTGCTCAGCTAACCATGCGCAAGGTGTTCAAACTCTCGGGGTCTCCGTTTCCACATCCGTCTAATGGGGTAATTATATGTGCCCTGTTTCCCTCTTGGAATGTTTTCAAAGCAAAATGGGCGACTATGCATGAAAGCACCTCAGTCATTATAAAGGCATTACTTGGTTACCGAGTGGCATTATTACTCTAACAAAGCATTGTGGGGTGCACACCTACAGAAGGTCACAGCCAAGAATGAGAAGGCATATCGCCCTGAGCCCAGGCAGCTTACCACCTAAGCCCAAGAAAGAGGCCTTCCAGACACTGAGCGCCTGCGCATACAAGTTCAGACTTTCTAGAATTTCTATCTAGAATTTCTTGATAGTCTGGTTTGGGGCAGGGATGATGGATTGGAGGATTTACTTAGAAGTGATAATTGTTTCTGAAGTAAGCTCTGATTTTATTTAGACTGTATGTAATTGGGTGGTCTTTTGGGCAATGGCAGTAAGAAGCCGGCTCAAGTCCCCGTGGCCCTTGGCACCAGCCTTGGTGGGATACCAATGGGTACCCACAGAACTGAGCACCTAAGGGAGTATTTGTGGGGTTGGTCAAGGGGGGCTTCCTGGAGCGGGGTAGTTTGAGATGTGTTTGAAAGAAGGAGAAGGAAGTGACTCTTATAAAACACAAGTGAGGGGCTGGGGGTGTAGCTCAGGGGCAGAGCGCTTGCCAAGCCTGTGCGAGCTGGTGGGTTCCACTCCCAGCCCGGCCACACAATCAAACACTACAGTGGATATAAAGAGGATATTCCGAGGACATCTAGGGGCCACTTTCATTGTAGGGACAGGAGCCCACTTGGCCAAGGCCCAGTGGGCTATAACTGGGCTGGAGAGGGTGCATCGGGAGAGGTGGAAGGGGAAGACCAGGCAGACTCTAGAAAACACAAAGACTTGAAGGGGGAGGCAGCTTCCGGGGACGGAGGGTGGTAGTCTAGTAGTAAGACTGGGAGTTCGAGGACGGGCACCAAGGGTCCTCAGCACCTTGCTGAGGAGTGGGCACAGCTTCTTAGAGACGACAAAGGGACAAGTAGCAAGATGTCCTGAAGCTGCTCTCCACAGCTCCCCTGCAACCTGGAAATACCTGGGGATCAGGGAGGTGGACAGTAGAATATGGAAACACCTGGAAATAATATGAGGTTACCCTGCGACTGTAAATGGGCACTCAGTCTATAAAGTGGTCTGAGTTGAAGGGAGCGGGGTCTGCGGGGTGCTAGCTGTGGCAGGGAAGGGAGGAGAGGAACCAGCAGGGCAGGGTGGGTTCCAGTAAGTCCCTAATGTAGCAGATGTTTCGTGTTTATGCTTTTATTCCTGTTTGCCTTCCCACCCATGACCTCGAGGTGGAGGTCCAATTCCGTTTAGGAGGCTGGCAGGGGCGGAGGGCAGGGAGGCCAAGGAGACAGAAGGAGCAGGTTCTTTGGGAAGCCGTTTACACCCTCTGGGATTGTGGCTCCCTCTGTGATTACCGCTTTCTGCATCTGTGAAATGCAGATAAGGGTGCCGCTCAGAGCCAGACTTGTTATTATTTCTTCAGTTGGCTCTTCTCTCCCTGACCAGAACAAGTTCCCGGAGGAGACAACACCGTTTACTGATTTCTGGATCTCCGGTGTTTCAGGCTGGTTTGGGCTAAGAAGATTTTTAATCAATGTCTATTAAATTAGATGTTTGTAATCACCCTATCTAACACATATATTTATCAGGATAAGGGGCACCAGAATTCCCAAACTCTGGTGACAGTTTGGGAGGATAAGTGGCTCTTCACAGACAGAAGGGGTTTGATCCACTCCTGTCCCCCATGTCACCCCTGCCCTTTTAGGAAGCGACATTTGATCTCTGGTCACCACCCTCAAGGTGAAGTAAGTCTATGATGCCTGCTTCTATCCTGGGGGCAGAGACTAACAGCTGACACCTATGCAGAGCTTTCTGTGTGTCCAGTAAATTCCGAGGGCTTTCCCTGTGCTAACTCCTCTGATCTCCAGACCCAATCCATGAGCACCCTGCTTTGCAGATGAGGGAAACTGAGACCCTCAGAAGCCACATTCCTCCATGTTATATGTAACTATAATGCACTAAAGAAAATAAAAACGTGTAACATTTGATGTCTGCAGCCATACCACCTGAACGTGCCTGATCTCATCTGATCTTGGAAGCTAAGCAGGGTCGGACCTGGTTAGTACTTAGATGGGAGACCACCCAGGGAGAAGTCCGTTAGGTGGCTATGGTCACACACTCAGAACACAGTGGTGTCCAAATGCAGGCGAGACAGCCTGGTCCTGGGCTCCACTCCTGACCTCCACACTGCTCCGCTGTTGCTTGTAAATTCCACCCTCGCCTCCTCTCTTATACCTGAGCCCTTTATTCAGTGGGACATGTGGCTCAAGGTGCAGAGCCACATGTGGCTGAGGATAAGGCTCAAGGTGTCTATCTGAGGAAGGAAGCAGTACCAGGCCCTAACCCTGGCCCCATGTCCTCTTGCCTGGGTGGCCCTCCGACCCTTATCAACTCGAGGGTTAGGATTTAATCTGGCTCAAAGCCAGCATCGGGGCTGAGGGGATGACCCCAGCCTCCTGGATCCAGGGTGCTTATGAGCCCAGAACCAAGGTTTGCCATATTCCTCTCAGCTTCTCCAAGAGATGTGTCTTGTTTGCCAGGTACAGCTTGTTGCCTTACATGGCAAAGAGGACAGATTCAAGGAACATGATCAGACCGGGAGCAGATCTGACGACCCCTTCTTCAGAAAATTGGTATGACTTGCCAGGAACAGGGGTGCCCCTGAAATTCCCATAAGTGATCTCCCTGCCTACGCTTGAATGCTCCTGGGGATGGAGGCCTCACTACCTTAGGAGAGTGATCCACACTGAGCAACACCTGTGACCTCATGGTTTTTATCACAAATCCTTCCGCGTTTACTTTTCTAGACACATTTAAAGTGCTGTGAAGACAAAACCCTGAACTGAGGTCATCTTTTTAAAAAACTCTGGCAAAATCTTTTAAGTAGAGTGTATAGAATACATTCTTGCTGATTGAGATCTTATCATGAATGAAGAATGAAAAATTTTAAGGATCTTCAATTTTAATTCCAGGACTGGGATCCCCAGGGAGGGGGGAAGCAAGAATTTCTGTAGTGGATGCAGAAGGGAAGTTAATGTGTAATGATATTAAGTTGATCCTTCTGAACATTCTCCTTTGAATCTGCACAACCTAGTGAGATAGTTCCTCCCCTCCCTTCCTTGCAACAGCTAGCACCCCGCAGACCCCGCTCCCTTCAACTCAGACCACCATTCAAAGGAGAATGTTCACAACAATGTGAACATTCTCCTTTGAATCTGCACAACCCAGTGAGAAAGGTGTTACAAAGAAAGAAACTGAAGCACAGAGAGGGTAAGTAACATGCCCATGATGACTCAGCAAGCAAGAGAAGTGAGATTTGAATCATGGTCTGTGTGATTTTGGAATCTGGTGTTGTGTCCCTGAATGCGCAAAACTTTCCCCCAGGAATCCAGGGCCCAGCCAATCCCTTCTCAGGGAAAACATAGATGGTTTCAAAAGTATCTGGAAAAATAAAAAAAAGCTTTGTAGATTTTAATTTTTTGTGTGTGTAGTTTTGTTTGTTTATTTGTTTTTGGTGTTTGCAGTGCTGGGGATGGAGTCCAGGGACTTGGTGCCTGCTAGGCAAGTGCTCTACCACTACCACTGAGCTACACCCCCGCTGGGTAGATTTTAGAAGAATGACTAATGGACAACTCCCGATTTCCCAAAGATCCGAGAGCTCACCAAAAGGAGGAAAGACCACATCCTAAGCCACACTGATGGAGACTCTGAGCTCTAGGAGTAGACAGGGCCAAGTCTGGGTCAAATTTACATCCCGCGTCCTGAAGACAGAGCCTGGCAGGTAGTCTGGAACCATCTGATGGAGACTGAGGAAATAAAGAGGGAGAAGCTCAGGAGACAGGAAGATGAGAAACTGGGAAGAGAAGCTTCTAGCCCAGAAAGGAGCAGAGGCAAATGATGACAGTGTCAGGAAGGCAGGTGACACCGTCCACCGGGCTGGGGCAGAGCACCTCAGGCCCACTTGGCTGCTGCCACGATGCCCCAAGTCATGTGTTGACACCACCAGGAAGCGGAGCAGAGTGCAGGAGAAAGAGTGGCATCAAGACCTGCTCAGGGGCTGGGGATAGAGCTCAGTTGGTAGAGCGCCTGCCTCGCATGCACAGGCCCTGGGTTCCATCCCCAGCACCACACACACAAAGAGGTACTTGTTCAGGGATTTGAGGCCAGGGTGGACAGAGAGGAACTGTAAAAAGTTTTCCCCAGGGAAGAGGCTGGGTTGTTATTACTTATTTACTCATGCAAGAGGTGCAGGGGGTGGGGTTCTCCCCTTGAATTGGTCTCCCAAGGAACTGGGACTTCAGGCGCCCACATGCCTGGCTGGGTCAGGTTGTTGATCTTGTGGTCTGAGTGTTACTCAGGACCTCTCATTGTAGTACCTACTACCCCACAGGAGGAGGAAGAGGAGGGAGGGAGGGAGGGAGGAAGAAGAGGGAGGGAGGAAGGAAGGAAAATTGGGTCACGGTCCAGGCCTATCAATGAGAACCTCCTAGGTGGGCCCTGGCAGTGTGTGTTAACAAGCTGTCTTGGAGATTCCAGGGATGCTTCGCTGATTGACCTATTTTTCTATTTAACCCTGATCTGTGTTACTTGCTACCCAATCATGTATGACATAGAGCAAACCCAGTGCAGATAAATCAAGGAACGCACAGGGCAGCACCAACCCCGCACCTCACTCACCATAGTTCCCCTGCTCTATTTGCATCGTGCGTGGGTGGAGGCAGCCCCATCGGCCCCAGGGTCCAGCTGCACCCCCAACCTTCCCTCTTCCTGCCCAGGGACTTCCTCCGGATGCTCTTTCCTGAGAAGCTGGATGTGGACAAGAAGGGCCGTCCGAGCACTGCTGGCTCCAAGATCAAGGTGGGCTTGGGGCAGACAGGGAGAGTTGGGCATTAGAAGGGCTGGGTCCCACCCTGTCCAGTCCCCAGAGTGGGTCCCTCCTGGTTCCAATGTCGGTCTCTCCTTCATCCCTAGGGCCATTGTGCCTGTCTCTGGCACCCTCTGGCAGGCACCATCTTCCACCTCTAGGTTTGGGAGATTAAATCAATTTTTTTTGCCACTTTTCCTCTTCTCCTTCTCCTCTGCCTCCTCCTCCCTCTTTCCTTCCCCATCATCTCCTCCTCCGCCGATGGGGACGGAACCCACGGATGGGCCTTGCACCTGCTAAGCGTGGACTCTACCACTGAGCCACACTCCCAGCCCCCGAGTCGGAGAGCATGTTCAACACACAGAACAAAACTGACCATCTTACTCATTTCTAAGTGCACAGCTCGGAGGTGTGAAGTGTGTCCGTCTCCAGAACTTTCTCGCCTTCTCACACTGAAGTCCTGTTCCCTTTAAACACTAACGCCCCAGCCCCTCCCCAGCCCCTGGCACTGCTCGCTGTCTCTGTGAATCTCATGATTCCAGGGGACCACCTGTGAGTGTGTCCTGCCTGCAGCGTGTCCTTGCCTGCCTGGCTGATCTCACTGAGCACAGTGTCTACAATGTCCCTCCGTGTGGCGCCATGTTGAAGAATTTCCTTCCTTTTTAAGGTTGGAAAATATCCAGTATCTAGGTGGACCAGTTGTATCTATTCACCTGTTGGACACTTGGGCTGCTTCCATCTTTTGGCTACTATAAACAATGGTGCGATGAATATGGGGGTCCCGTTCTAATAATGTATGAGCACCCTTTTCTTTTTTTGAGTGCTTAATGCATACTGGCAGCAAGCACAGAACACGGATACACGAGAAGCTTGTTCAGTTCCACCCCCAAGGCTCAGAGAGGGTCACTCACTTGCCAAGGCCACACAGCAGAACCTGAGTCACTCCCACTAGTTTC